ATTCTATCTTAAGCTAGCGTACAGAGCACCAAATGAAATCCTTTTTCCCGTGTTCATTAACATAGCTTCATCTTTTCAGAGATTAAATTTAACTGCAGGAGGATAACACTGCTCTCCAAATACCCGGTTTTGTGCCGTTACATAAGCAGTTAAGTAATTGAGGCCCAAATCTGCAAGCTGCCACGTGGCGTGCCCCACGCTGGTGGGCTGGAAGGACGGTGCTAATCCTGATGGCGTTAGGCTGTACCAAAGGGTGTGCGGACTAAGCGCTGCTGGTAAATCCACATGCGGTGCTTGGTGCTGCTGGGCATTCAGTCGACAGACTGGGCAGTGACCCTGCTGAGGCTGCTGGCACCCATCTGCCCGCGAAGTGATGAGGGTGGCGAGGAGCTGGAGGAGGTTATGTCCTGGGGCCTTTCCGCCTCCTAATCCAGTTCCCAAGCCACGCAGCACTGGGGAGTCCCGGAAGAGAAGGAGGAGTGAGTCGGTTGCCCTCAAGTAAGACGAGGTCCTGTTCTCCATGGTGCTGGTGGGTGCTCCCGGCCGGGCTGCAGCCTCCAGCAGTGACGGAGCTCCTGAGCCTGGGGTGCACTGGAGTGCTGCTTCTCCAGCCCCTCGCTCCAGCCTTCCTCCCAGCTGTGAGGAGTCTGTCAGCCTGCAGCTCATCATCTGATGGCCGGGCTGGAGGCTGGGAGACAGTTTGCAGGGCTTTTTTTATTTTTGTGGCTAGAGTAATGTTGGTAACATCCCATCGGACAGGCTGAGAAATGCCAGCGAGGGGTTAGAGCTTTTGCGGGGTCCATGGTGGCTGGTGGCTGAATACACTGGGTTCATCTCATCCTCTGGACAGTGGTGACTAGCTTGCACCAATACAAGTAAATAATAATGGAGAGCTGTGGCTCTGAGTATTGCTGTGTCAGAAGTATAAAAAAATGTTGCTAAAGAGTATTACTTAATAGTTGGCTTTGTATTGGGAGATCTCTATATTTAAAATTTGTTCAGGGTTTCTTAAAGAGTATATTTTCCAGGTCATGCATCTAGGTAGAAAAAAAGCTTTAAAATAATTTCTAAGGCTTGGTTTCCTAAATTGCAGGTCTATACCAAAATAAAATAATGCTTTCCGAAAACAGGATTTGTTGCAAGGAGTTAAAGTTCTTTCTGCCAAGAGTGAAAGCTAAAAGTGGATCTGTGGCTGTGAGCCAAATTCCATCAGCTCCACAGAAATATTCATAACGTAGATCAATAATTAAGCCCACTATGCAAAAGTAATGTTGTGTTCACCTCAAATTGCTCTGCAGTGCCTGTTCATACGTGGCTGCTTGTTTGGACTCGATGATCTTGGAGGTCTTTTCCAACCTTAATGATTCTATGAATTTATTTTCCAACTGAGTTTTAGGAATATTACCAAGATTTAAGAATTTATTTTGGAGAATTTGGTTTGACTATGTAGTGTATTCAGGTTATTCTGAATAAATTTCCTTAATTTTTTTTCATCCCAAGTGTTCTGAATTCTCATCCACTAGGTGAGTTGCTACTGCCCCTATGTTTTTAAAGGGCAAGCTAACATAGAAAATGGATAGGATGGCAGTAGCGTTTCCTTAGTCAGTACGACTGAATAAAGGGAAAACATAATAACTAAATTTAACTATTTTGCTAACATGCATTTATTTTCTCCCTCTGTCTTTAATCCTCATGTTTTCAATCCTCACCAGAGATAGATGGCTTCAGGAGAATGGGATAGATCCTGTTTTTTTCTTGTGCTTTATCAGCAAAATAGAAACAACCTCGTCGTTGCAGAATCTCTATGACTTGTGGGGAAAAGAAGTCCTTCTATCTAATAAGTTCTATCTAATTCCAGGGAAAATTTGCAGGGCTAGCTATTTATCCCACTTGCGAATGGAGCAGGTTTGATGCAGCGTTCAGTAAATGTGGCCTCTACATTTTCAAAGGGAGTAAAGACTTTAATTCCTACTCCTGTAGGCTAGGGGGAAGAAATGTGTTTTATGCCATCTTCTAAGGGAGAAACTCAATGCTGCATGAGGAATGTGCCTCGACTGAAAAATTGAATTGCCACTGGTGATAGTTTGCTTTCTGCTCTTTGAAAAACCCTGTCTTCCAGGCCTGCAGTTATATGTCTTTTATTTATAAAACCTCTCCTACAAGAGCACTTATGGTAGTGAAAACTAGCTGGGAAATAATTTCCTATTAATTAAGCTCCTACATATCATATGATTCTATTACCTGCATACTCATCCGTCGTATGAACTGGCAGTGGCATCTTGTATGGTATGTTAAACCCATTCATAGATCATTCATTCCAACGCATCAATAAAACTCTTTGACTTGAATAGAGAGCCAGAATAATAATGACTGAGTTTCAGCAGAGTCATGGTTTGCCGAACGATTCATCTGATAAAGTGAGCCATGTGATTTGGCACTGTTTTGTTTCTGCAGGGACCAAAAGTTTTCCCGAGCTATCGGCTGATGAGTGCGTGACCTTTTACAGGGGTAAAGGGGATGCCTTTAATTGACCAGGTAGTGGAGAAAAGAACATTCCTGCCTTCTGGGGGGATAGAGGACTAAGATGAATAAGAGGGACCTTGTGTACACGATCTATCTGCCTGTTTCAGCTGAATGCCCTAACTGTTGGCTGTTAGGAAGAGCCGAATCCAGCAGCCTGGCAGAGGTGAGGCTGAGCCCCTTTCCAGACCTCCTCGCACAGAGATGCAGCTGGCAGCATGGACACATGGACCTTGTGACCTGTGGTCCCACTTCAGTTGCTGGTGCTTAGACCCCCGTACACATGCATGCACACAGAAGGAACTCCCTCACCCAGAAAGAGACTTAGAAAGAAATTTAGTAAGAAGATAGGACTGTGCTGGCTGGGTGTGGGGCATGGCCGGACAAGCATAGTGACCAGCAGCCTGCTTACATGGCTGGTGCTTTTGTCCCTTTTCCTCCCCAAATCACCCGCGTGCCTCCCTTTCCTTGCCTTTGTCTGCCCCTAATCATCCCCTAACTCTTGTGCAATCCTGAAATGTTCTTCCCCTGCATCCCATTATGTGTGCTGTACCCCTAAGCAGTCTGAAAGGTGGTCCTGTCTTGATGGCTTTCACACCTGGACCATGGGGCAGATGCTCTCCAGGGACAGGAGCCCTGTCAGGGTGCCTCTTCCTGGAGTTTGCCATTTGGGTCCCCCACCTGCCTCTGTGCTTCTGCACTCTTTGGGATGTGTGGAGATGAGCCTTGGATGGACTGACGGATGTTTTTCTGTCTTTTAAAAATGAATGCGTGACCTCTTCTTGAGTCTTGTTCAAAACGATGACCCCCTCGAGGACATACTGGCATGGTATTTTGCAGGCAAGTATGAATGAGCTTCCCCTCCACCATCAGCAGAGCTTGTATGTTTGGGGTCAGAACTGCACTAGGCATATTCACAACTGCCAGTCGTCATATAACTTGCTCACAGCTGTTGTCTGCTCAAGCAGAACAAACTTGCATCTGTCCTGGGAGAAATCTGGATGGTATCTCTAATCCTAGGGGATGGTTTCAGGCTATAATTCCTCATCAGAGTCAAATGTCTCCTTACAGCCCCCAAAAAGCAAAGAAACCCAGCATGCTTGTTGTATGCTCACTTCTTCCTTTGTACCTTAGCAATTATATATCTGAGCTACATGCTGGCTGTTGGAAATTCCATTCTAAGCCATCGCACCTTGCCCGTGGTTTTTATAGGGCACTTTGGGGATGGACCTTGGACTGTGGATTCTGCCTCCGAGCTCAGATGCTTGAAAGTCAGGTGTTGTCTTGCTTAGCATCATAACCTGCAGATACACTGGTGGAGTCGACCCTGAACGTCTGTCTGAAGATCACAGGGAATTAATCATGAAATTGCATTAAGGCTCCTAATTCTTAGCAGGCAGCTCTAAGCACTGAGCACTTCTCATTTCCTGTCTGTGTGGAATTTGGGAGAGTTGAGGTTTATTTATTTATTTATTTTTAAACGGGAAATATAATTGGTTATCTTTAATTGAGACTGCATTAGCTTCTAGTGATAGTAATGCTCTGTGATGTTGTTTGTAAAATGATGGTTTTGGTAGCACATGTATTTATGGTTAAGATCCTTTTTGTGCTTGTGAAATCCTCAGGTTTTTTTAAATGCCAAGCCTGTAAACTCAAAAGGAAACTTTAAACATTAAGTTGGTGAAATAATAACTGGCAATACATACGAATAGCATTCTTCATGCTATCGAAAGGCCAGAACAGAATTTATCTTGCTGTCAATACAACTTCAACAGGAATTGTGTGGGTGGATAGGAGCACTTATCCTAGCCATTATGCAGCAGTGGCATAAGTTAATGGAACAGATTGTCAGGGGGACTGTAGGAAGTAATCGCATAGGAAGGAAGATGTGATTTATGTATGAGACATAATACACTGCATATAATGAGAAAGTTTGAAAAATAATGTATGGAGGAGGTGCACAGATAAAACTGTTAGCATCAACTCAGAAAATAACACTTTATTTCTAGCTGCTTATTGCTTTCTTGAATAAGCTCTAACACGGCTGAAATATTCCTGATTTTGGTATTTAATTCAAGCTGAGTTACATTTGGAAAAAAAAAAAAAGTAGTTGTGTTATTTCTGAAGATGACAATAGGGGAAAAAGTTCTGCTTGGGAACATGCTAAAAATAAGGTGATGTTCATGCTTGCTCACCCTCCCTTTCTGTTTTGGAGCAAAACCTTTGGATCTGCCAGCATGTTGCCTTTTTAGGATGGATATGGCTTTGGTTACCTTTGAGGAAAGTCTGTCAAAAATTAAGAGCTTATAACAATAACACCCTCCAAAACAAAAAAAACCCCAAAACCGTAGTTTGCTCCAGAGAAAAATCTTCTATCTTAACAGTATCTTGGTGGTTGAACTGCCACAGCTTTCCTTCAGGCTGGGCATCTTCTCCCTGTCTAAGGTGTTGTGGTCTTCTCCAGCCCCTCTAAGCTGAGGATGAGCTCCTGCAGGACACATGCAGAGTGGGTCTGTGGGCTGCCAGGCTGGGATGTGGAAGGGGTGAGGGACAACCCAGTGGGAGAGGCAGTGATCAGGAGCCTGGAGCTGGGTGGAGATGGTGGTGAGGAGGACTCCAAGGAGACCTGGTGGGACAGAAGGGTCAGAAAGCTGAACAAGGTAAGTGGGGTGACACAGGAGGTGCTCAACATTTCTCCAACATCAGAGACCCAAGCAGGAACTTCTGAACAAAGAAAGAGGGAGGAGGATGAGGAGCCTAAGGAGCAGGGAGTGCAGCTGGCTGTGTAGGTGGGAAGAAGAGGGTTGAGCAGGATTGAGAGGATTTAGGGCAGAGGAGAAGGAGTAGCAGAGCAAAAGAAGGTATAAACTTTCAGACTGAGGATAGACTCATCATACTCTCCTTTGCGGAAAGGAGTGTGAGCCTTGAGTTGTCTTTGTCGAAGATCAATGCGGAGACAAAGCACAAAAAACCTCCCCAAAAACCCGTAAGTGCTGCTTGGATAATGGAGTGCTCTCATTTTGTGCGGTTGGTGACAGATGCTTTGTGATCCTTCACATTCATTTATTTTCTTCAGATATCAGTGATGGGTGTTCCAGTCCTTTAGCTTCCCAGAACAAAAATCCCAAGAAAGAAATTTGACCTATGTAGCACGTTTGTGAATTGCTGCTTTACATTTATAGCTTTTCAGTTTGGCAGATAAATAACGGTTGCAGCCAGTGCCTCTTTCAGCTGCGTGCAGCACAATTATGATGGGATTGTTTTTTGGGGCTCTCTGACATTATAGTTGTTGAGAGCTCAGTAGAAGAGCTGGATTGATTGCACCAGAGCAATGTTTGCCTGGAGTGCTGTGTTTGCCATGGCAGGGTGATGTACTGGCATCGCGCTCTGCTACTCTCTCACATTGCTTAGCTAATAAGCCTCAGCTCAGGCATGAAGGAGATAAATGGGATAAGTGGATGGCTGAGGTTGTGTGTCCGTGTGGTTTTTGGCCTCTTGCATTAGGGCTTATTGTCTAGTGCTTGGAATAAGCAAAATGGGGATAAGTAGGTAAAAAGTCCATTTGAGAAATTGTTCCAGAATAGTTATAGCAGGGCTGGGCAGCCCTTCTCATCCTGGGAACGAAGACCTTTGTCTAGCTGAGAGCCACGCAACGTGCACTGTCTGTGGAAAGCTGTTGGAGAGACAGAGTTTGGGGTAGGTGCCAGCTGGGTGCTCCCAGCAGTCCCACCACTCTCCTGGGGGCTGGGGCTGCCGTGGGTGAGAACTGGGGGCTGGGGCCGCATTGTGATGTCAGTCTGAATCGCCTCTTTGGGCTTGCGTCTTACCAAGTGGGGTGCTTGGATGGCCCAGTGTTCACCCCATGCCAGCACAAAACCATGAATTATTTACTAAATGATTTATAAATTGCCTTCTTATCCTTGAGATCTGAAATTCTGGGATGAAACATGAAGAACACACATTGCAGCCAAACACCTCGATGTCTTATTTTCCCCTGTGGCTGTTAAGTAACCAAGTTTAAGGAGCAGGCAAGTGTAAGCTTATGATCTGCTTGAAGTAAAATCAAAGTGTGACAAAAATGGCTAACTGAGCACAGCATTTGAACATCTGGCTGCAAATGGCAGAAATGGCACGTCGACTCAACAGAACAAGACTCCTACATCGGGTATCCAGCCACCTCGCAGTTAGCTTTGAAGCCCTCGTTATGCTGTTCTTGGAGCAGGTGTCACATCTTCGAAGGGAAATGTTACAGGCTTTGATGGAAGATAAGAAAGATGTTACACATCCGCTTAGTGTAACTTTAAATAAAAGAATTGTATTTTAAATGCAAATGTTTTGCTTGTTTTTGAGTTGTAAGGAGCTGAACTGCTGTCTTAAAAATTGATTTGCCTTTTAAGTGTCATGGAAACCTATTTTTAGGATTGCTAATATGTATTTCTCTTGTAACCAATTATACTCGCTACAAAGAGGAATCAAAATTTTCTGGAAGTGTATGTGCAGGTGGTGCTACACCATGTATACATACGAATAAGTGTCAGTTATGGTGTCTCCTGGGAATTAGGGAGACCAACCTGGAAATAGTCCCAATCCCATTCAAAATGTCATTTCGGAGCTCTTTCCACGCGGCATCTTGTTATTTGTTGGTGCTAAGGATAAAAATCATGACAATTTCAGAATAAAATATAAGCTTAGGGCAACATAACAGTCTACTGGGCTGTTTTTGGGTGTAACCTATGGTTTTACCGATACGTGTTTGCATGTTTAGCATAGAAATGAAACCAGGCTGTTTCTGCTGAAGGAATGCGTAGGTGTTGGGACCGTGCTGGGCCACCTCAACATCAGCAGAAGGCAGCTCTCGGGACCTGCAAACTTCTGGTTCTCTCTGGTCTGATTGCGGTTTCTCGCACCACAGTTTTCACTAGTTTGCAATAATGAACGGCAGATCTTTTGCAAATATTTGTATGGCTATTCCCCCTTAACTCCTAGGAGAGGGAGAAAATAATCAACTTTCAGTTGCTGATATTTCAGCTTATTGTTTCCTGCAACTGTAGCTGCTGACCCAAATGTGAACACACAGAAAACATATGCCGCATTTTATTTGCCAGCTATAGAAAAGATGCTTTTGGAGAACATGAGATGTCACATCTGTTTAGTCAACAAAATATTGTCATCTCCATTGCACTGAATGGCTTCCTTTGTAGTGAATGCTGCGTTTCAGGTTGCCTGTTAAATGGGGTCTGTAAACTGTTTTAAATGTTCTTTATCTTACAAAGTTTCTATTTTGTTTACAGCAAGGGAAGCCGTATGTCTTTGACAGAGTGTTACCTCCTAATACAACCCAGGAACAAGTTTATAATGCCTGTGCCAAGCAGATTGTTAAAGGTAGGTGTTGTCTTTGTTTACTCCCGTTTGGGGGGAGGTAAGATGATGTCTCCCTGTCCCCTCAAGCTATTTAAAGACAGGATAATAAATGTTTAGATGTTTGTGTGGGAGTTTAGTAATTAGTAATTCCAAGTATTTCCTTTTTTAGGGACTTGTCTATGTGAAAAAACCAAACCCAACCAAAAAACAAAGCAAACAAAAAAGAGCTGAAGGAATTGCAGTAGTTGTTCCTTACTTTCTCCTTGTGTATGACTTATTCCACAAAAATACTTGCTTTTTGTGGTATAAGATAAGCAACAAAAAGCATGTTCTTCATGCAGCATGAGACTGTTCAGTATGAGATAAGCATGGAGTAGCTGTGTCTTTGAATGGAAGGATGGACCATTAAAGGAAAACTTAGAAGGTACTGGTTTTGTAGCTGCTTTGCAGGCAGGTAGATTGCATTTAAAACTGAAATGAGAACACAAGTGCCTATTGGATAGCACCTTATTTGTTTAAAACAAAACCTTCATAAACTGTTGAAATGTCAAGATCTTAACTTGAGAATCAAACTTTTTGGGTGCATTTTAATTGCCTGCTATACCTCCCCCACCTCCCAAATCACCCTCAGACCTGCCACTTGGTTCTGATGCTGGATGGTCCATCCATGATGGTATTACAACGGCTGCAGCATCTCAGGGGTTACTTATAGTACCTGGCCTAGTTGTTCTCTGGCCTTGTGAGGTGTCCCTGTTCCCCCCAAGATCTGGTCCTCAGTTTTTGTTTTTAAATCAAAATATGCAGACAGTGGGAGTGGTGTCAGAACGGGTCAGAGTTGTGCTTTTATAGCAACGCAAGGCTGCATGTAGAATGCTGTGGGATTTATGTGGCGTGACACATTTGGGATTGCTGATAGGTGCAGGAGCTACCGAAGCAGTGTTGAAGGACTCGATAGTGTTTCAGGCAAGGAGCTGGATCTGCTGAGAGCTTGTGTGTCTGCCGGTGGGGAGAGGTCCCTGGGGTGAGCAGCACTGCTGCAAACCCTGGGTTTTGTTCTGGAGGAAATTGGTTGGCTCACTCAGACAGCCTCGAGCAAGCCAACATGTGTGTAGTCTAGATGATTGGGGGTGAGGACTAGAAGCTAAATTATTTGATGTTGGAGAGAGGAAATGAGTCATAAGACTTCAGTTGCCTCTTCTCAGAGGGGAGTCTAATTATGGCAATTCTGACTTCAGACGGGTAAGCCTTTAATAAAAACTGGTGGGATTGGAGTTGTAGAGCTTACAAATTATTAGTTTGGGTTGCTGACATACCACTCAACTTTTGGAAGTTTGGGGAACTGTTTCAGTACTACAGTGTGTGCTAACAGATGCAGCACATCGCTGTTTGTAGACTTGCGGAGGGTATTTATATCCCCTGTGGAATTTGGTTTCCTCTGAAAATGGTGAGAGAAATAAAATCCTGTTTGAGAGCAAACCTTGGAAGACCTAAATCAGTGACTAAGTCTTCTTCATTAACCAAATAGAAAGGCAAATACTTTCCGAAGTTCTGTTTGAAAATAGAGTTCAAACATACTTTTGCATGTGTGTTAACTTGGACCTTCTAGATACCTTTAAAGGCAAGTTTGGTGGGGGAGGAGAGGGTGTAGAAGAAAGGAAAAGAGAAAGAGAAACTGGGGGGGGGAAGAGAGGAGAGAAAGAGAAAATGAGAAGGAGAGAGATGGGAAGGGAGAGCAAGGGAGAGGGGGGAGAGAAGGAGAATGTAAGACAGGGAGAGGGTCTGGGAGGGAGGGCGGGAAGGAGGGCACAGCATTACTCAAGTGATGTTCTTGAGCTCTGGGCTTAAATTTCCTTACGTTTAATTTCTAGTTTAAAGCCTAATAAAGTGAAGAATGTGAAACGGACTGGGCTGTTTCTGATAGACTGGAACAATGTAATTTACTACATGGAAATATGAGCTGAGTGCATTACAACTTGGAGCACTATTTAAATCTGAGACTTTTTGAAATAGCTTTTCAAGGTTACCATTTGTTATCAGATTTCATTATACTCCCATGAAATGGTTGATGGTTTCATTGTGATTAATGTTATTACAGAAAATGCCAGCTGGCCTAACAATCTCTAAAACAATGGTTATAATAACTATGTTGACAATAAGAGTGATCTAAATGAGGTTTTTTCACTGAAGAAGAAATAGGATTAGGTTTAAGTAAACAGCTCAATAACTAAGTCAAAGTATTTCAGATTCCGTACGTGAGAAACATGAGAAGGAAGGAGATTTTTAGAGGAGAAGCAGCAATCTGTGCATTACAGCGATTTGCATCGGGTTGGGCGCTGGGATGGTGTATGTTCAAGGTACTCCCAAGGGCGGAAGTACCAGTAGTGGAAGTGTGTGGGGAATCATCACTGGTGCATATGACCACAGTTTGGGAATTTGTGTTTGCATTTTTTTAACCAAACTTAAGAAATATCACTAAATCTGAAAGGGAACAATAGTGTGTGATTGCCACCACTTTCGCTTTGTTTCCCATTGCTCTTTATTGCCAGAAGACAGCTTTATCTTCTCAACCTACACAGATGGATGTCTGTATCTGGATTTTGCATCTTTCCTACAATTACATTGAGGGGAGAATATATAATGGCCCAAGCTATGGCTGAGCAGTGGAGCTGTGAGCATGTTAGTGCACATGTGAACATCTGCACATTTGTGTGTACTGTGAGGAGGAGAAAATTGCTTTAATGATTTTTTGGGTGGTGGAGTTGCTCTCACTGAGTAGTTTATTGACTTTCTATTCTGGTTACAAATTCGGGCCTCAAATGCTGAGTCGCGGAACTAGGAAGTTTAGAGATGAAAAAGATAAGTATAGAGGTAAAAATTTGGTCGTAGAAATGAGGCTGAAAGGACTTCCGTAAAGCCATTTGGTCTTTCTTCTTGTCATGAAGACTCTGTACTTGTCAGTGGTCCAATGGAAAGGTCTCCAGTCCACAGCCGCCCTTGGCCATTTGTTGCAGAGCTCTGCTGGGCACTCCAGTGCTGCTGGAAGGACTTTCTGGGTCCCTAACCCGAGCGAGTCTGTGTTGTAGCCCTGACACAAGGGTTGCGGTTTTAGACCTCTTGTCCTCTCCATCCTCGTCAGGACAAAGGCCATCTGGCAGCAGTTGAGTGGCTGAGTTGAGTAGCCGGCTTTTGTGGGGAGGGTAAATCAAACTGAAAATCATCGTAGAGAATTGGACCAGGAATTAAGAAAAGCACTTGGTCGTATTTTGTTTGTTATGAGTTACGTAAAAATCCCAACTGATCTTTGTTCGGTCACTTTGTTCATCTGGGTTTTTTTACCCCCTCTCCTTTGTTCTTAAGTTTTGTGCAGGCTGTTTCTCTCAGCAACTGTCTTCTCTCTTTATCCTGTTGACAGATGGTATATTAACTATCGTAAGGTAGAAAGCCTTCCAACAAAAACAACCTCTTCTACCACAGAGACCACTGACTTCTTTTAATTGCAGGTGATGCAAAAGACTATTTTTTTATAGAATAAGGTATTTTTTGCTAATTGGGAAGGTAAATTACTTATCTATGCTTCCTCAGGCAGCGATGTATCTCAGTATACATTGATGCAAATTCTGAGCAATTTTCTTACATAACGGTTGATTAATCAGATTATTTTCCCCCTAGGCAGTGTACCAGTATAGAGCTGACATTGTACCTTGCATTCACCTGGAGATAAGAAGCCTTTTTTTTTAATTCAACCTATTTTTTTAAAATGTTACCCAAGTTTGGCAAAAAATGGACATAGTAGTAGTGAACTCTTAGATTGTGCTTAACTGTCCTGGGGTGGAATTTAAAAGGTATTTGCATGCTAGGTGATATTTTAGAAACAAAAAGGACTTGCACATGTTTGCTTGAGTATTTCTGACTTCCTCCTAGGACAACTATTTATATTTTTTGATGCCTGAACACCTTTGAAATTCTGGTTCTGTGCACCTTCCAAACACGAATTGGCTTTTATCTAAAGAGAAGAAGAAACTTTCTTCCTTTTCCAACTTCTAGCTAGATTTTCGTTTAGAATAAAAAAGTCCAAACACAAGTATTTTCTTTCCTTGCTAGCTAACGAAGATGGAACCTTCTATACGCAGTAGATGTGGGGTACTTACAACTGGATCTAGTCTCAAAGGTTAAATATGACTGCCTCCCTGTTGTGCTTCCAAAGACATTGCTTAGTATACATTGGGGTTTTATTGGAAAAAATGCCGATAAAATTGCACCCATGAAAGTTCAAGTGAATGGGCTTTGAACGTGGTGCAGCCGGATGGCCAGCAGCGAGGCTCGCCAGCTGTTTTCTCCTGCGTTCAAGCTACCCTTGCTGTAGCCCTTCCCTTCCATTCAAGTTCATTCTGTGTTGGACTGAAAATCAATGAGATGTTCCCTTCCGAAAAGAACTGATGAATCAATGTTTTGAAATACCAGTAACATGAAATTTGGCCCTATTTTGAAGCCGTTGGTGAAATTATGGGTTGAAGGCATGAACTCAGGATAGCACTGCATCTACGGCTGGACATCTGTTTTTTTATCTATGCAATTATTATTTATAATTCCTTCTTTTAAACTTTGTTTCCTTAAAGCAGGAATAAGCAGTGTCTCTATTTTTATAAACAGATGAGGATGCTAAATTCATACAAAATGTTAATACCAGAATGATAGTAATTATAGTCTCTAACTTAGTCATTCTCCTAGATTTCAAGATTTGAAAAATTTACTCTGAAAAATACTCTGTGGAGGTCTATACAACCTCTGGCATGTCTGTCCTCTTCAGCTCCCCAAAACAGTACTACCACAACTTAAACAGTTACACTCTGAGTTTAATTATAATAAATATTTTTAAATGGGTTCATTCCAATTTCATCCTTACTCAGTATTGCTGTATAGGAAATGTGGGTCTATGTCATGGCTGTCTCGGAAAAAGATCTCTTTGCCTTTCCTTTCTTTTATCCATTTCTTTTCTTTGAAATCATCTTTCTGTGGTTTTTATCTCAAATTTTTTCACACTTGTTTCTTCTTCATTCTTTTTATATTTTTCTAACGTATCTTATTTAATTCTCCTTCCTAGCTGGACCATCTACATACATACATATGGAGATACATATAGAGGGTGGGAAACATAACAAATATTTCAGAAGCAGAGAAGGCCAACTCTAAAAGCAGGAGATGCGTTCGGAAGTGGCCGTGGACAGGAAACTTTCTGCCCTGCCGGATGGCTGCTCTCAGTCCCCTCTGCAGGCTGCAAGAGTCGAGCTTTCCTTATGCGTTTATTTTTTGCTGTTGGCTCTGCCCTGGCTTTGTTGCTCTCTCTCTGTCTGGTGTTTCTGCTCCGGAGGCCCGTGGCAGACCTCCGGTACCGAGTACGATGCCACTGGCCCCCGGCAAGAGGCATCGGGCACGGTGGCGAGGGGAAGGTGGGTGTCCCTAAGCAGAGCACCCTGGCCAGCATCTTCTCGCTGCATGCGGGGGCTCTGGGGGGGTCTTTCAGAGGAGGCTGGTGGGAGCAGCACGGGGTTATCACCACTGCTTTTTTTTTAGATTGAAGGTTTCCTTCATTCTTTATTAGCAACTATAATAAGTATTACTCTTTTTTACATGAAAGCTGCATAAATAGGTGGCCCTACTTAAGATTTTAAATTCACTTGCCTGGAGCAAGTCCAACCCAGTAATCCTTTCAACGGCAATAAATGGACGTGGGACTCTGCATAAGAACCAGCTGGTTTACAACCCTCCCGGATTTCTGAAAGCTACTATAGACATTAACCACTGCAAAGTTAAAAATGGGTATTTTTGTGTCTTAATGCAATATAAAATTAATCATTCTTCCTTGAGAGAAATATATTTTCAATAAAGCAAACTCCTGTTCATCTGACTTTCTTCTTGCTTTGCTCTCCTGCTTTGCAGACAAGCTTGGAAATAAATGAGGCCATGAACTATTGAGGGTGTTACAGCAGTAGAAATATACAGTATGAGTCTGTTTAATTTTCTCTATGATGCGTGATGGTTTAAAATGCAGCAATTAAGTTTTCTCTTTCCCATGTTACACAGGTATATTGGATAATATCTAGTGTCCAGAGATTTTTTTTTTCTCAGGAAAGTGAGAGAGATGTCAATAATTCTGCAATTCTCTAATTTACATTTTATTATGAACTTTTTTTGGCCTAAAGGTAGCTAGTTATGTCATATTTTTCCCATTCTTTATTGCACAAACTATTTTCTAATTGAGCATCAACATTGTAGAAGACTTCTGAAATGCTGGTAATCCTGCTTTAAGATGCCAATATGAGTTTTAATTTTTTTTTTCTTGCAGATGTTCTTGAAGGCTACAATGGCACAATCTTTGCTTATGGACAGACATCATCAGGAAAAACGCATACTATGGAGGTACAGTGGCAAAATTAAATCAGTTTGGTAGCGGCAGTAGAATTATATGTACCAATTACCTGAACAAGCTAGCTATCTGGAGCGCTCAGCTGTGAGTGACATATAAAAAGAGATCTGGGTATGTTTAGCTTCTACTGCCTTTCAAGCTGTAGTATTTCTTTCAATGTGGAGTTTTTTTCAAGAGATGTCTACAGATACCTAGCTAAACTAACAAATGGTGAGTGAAAAACATCAAGTATAGTTTCTCCGTATTTGTCACAACAGTTTAGGTATGTGTATATTTAAAGGATTTGAGTGAGATTTGTTAATCCACAAGTGAAAAACAGTAATAAGGGTCTGTAGAGTTCCCTTGCATGCAGGGTTATGAAAATTCATGCCTTGGTTATTGGTTTTCTCATTTGCACTCCCCTTCTGGGAATACCACTCTCGCATGCTGCAGCACAGATGGATGAATTTGAGAATTGTTGCTTTGGAGGAGGAGAATACCAAATTATACCAAATTCCAGTGGCTGAAGTCCTAAGTTTGTTCATATTTCTGCCACATGAAGTGTGAGAGCGTAGTTTTTTTCCTTTGTTTTGTTTTTTTTAACTGTTCAGTTAGAAGACATTTAGATATTTTAGTCTCTTGCTAAAAAAGGAGGATCATTCAAGCATTTAATCCTCACATAGGATTGTTTCCATCACAACGCTGTACAAGCTGGGTGTGTATGTCTTGGAGCATTTCAGTTCAACTGTGAACTTTAAACAGGAGGTCTACAGCAAAGTTTTGCTAAATGAAAAGAAAAAATGAGCTTTTATTTGTTCAACAGCATCAGATGGTTTTGCTACACGATTAACACAGGTGACCTATCTAACCTGAAGGTTAAAGGAAGGAAAGCAATATTCTCTCGAGCCAACAGGCCCTGGTGAAATTGCTGTTCGATTGCCACAGTTGTTCCTTTCCTGGAGGATGCAATAACTGATGCCTCACGTCTAATTAAGTCTGTCCTTGTGAGGATGGGGGAAATTACTAGCTTAGCCCTCACAGATGGCACAATGGCTGAGTAATCCACCAGCTCTGAATGTAATTAAATCAAAATGTCTGCAGGGCTTGAGCTGGTACTTCCACATGGCATAGGGGAAGATCTCTTAAAGCCAATTTATATTCAGAATTATGAGCTGTGATAAAGAAAATGACTGTGGAAAAATGGCTGGTTTACTTCTTTAATAAAGAAAAAGCTGTCATTTTGAAGTAGAATCAAATCTATATTCAGTTTTAATCCCCCTTTTAATCTAACATCCTCTTGTAAAGTTGCTAAAGTATGTTGTGGAAGAAAAAAATAGTCTGAAGTTGAAGAAATAGTAAATCCTCTTGGTAAAGCTGTTATGGAGGATTTTCTGCAAAGTGTGCAATGCTTCATAGTGTTAGTGTTAAGCTTAAACAGGACACGGTAGTATAATATAGCCAGGATAGGCTTTTTGACATACACAGGCCTTTCTCCTGTGCTAGATAACACATTTGCCAACCTGTATAGCAGGATATAACCAAAACCTTCTTAAAAATTATGTATTTTTGCCCATAAGATTATATTGATGGGCTTTGACCTTATAATAGCGTTTTCAATAGTGGGTCCCTGTAGACTGTAGTTATTATGTCAACATCCTGAAATAAAACAGCACTGTCTCAAACGTTACACTTCACTAGCTACTGCCTGCCTGCCTGCTATGTTTAAATGTGGAAATTAATGTTCTTATTAAAATGAGAGGCTTTAATGAGCAGAGAAGTCTCCGTCCTGGTGCTTTGGGGGAGTTTACTAACTGCAATGTCAGCAGGGCAGCAGCAGCACATTTCTCCAAACTCTTTCTGAGGTTACAGCTAAATCCATGAGAGTGGTGGGTTTGTTTTTTTTTTTATTCCAGCTTTCCAGTGACTAGCCTATCTCTACCTTTCTCTTCCCTTCCAGTTTGTGGTCTCCATAAATTATAGTGGGACCTGCTTCAATCATGTCTTGTTTTAATAAAAATCCAGTGATAATAAAGTAAAAATGATATTTTTTTTCAATACATCGCAGAATGCTGATGTTAGTATTTTAAAGATCTTAACTCTTTCTTCTCAAAGCAGTGAATGTGATCTTGCTTCACTGAAGTTTCTACTGACTTAAATAGTGAGAAAGCCCAAGCCCAGGAAGTTGTAGATGCAGTGGTTGAGTTACATGCACACTTAATCATACTTTACAGATTGCTTTCTCTTCTGAGCTAGAGAAAGCTATGTAAAGGAAAGCATAATTATTACAGGGCTTGTTGAGGCTAGGAGAATGTTTAATTAAATACTTCGATAAGTTGTCACTTACCCAGAGCCCAGGCAATTATTAGAGGAAAGGTTTACCTAGTGCGGTGATCCCAAAGCTGATGCACCTCTGTGCAGAAAAAATCTCTGCAACAAAACTTTGAATTCAAACTGTCCTTTGGCAGAGCTAACAACCCAGCTCGATCAAAACTCCTATAGAAAAGGGGGCACTGCATAGCTCTAGCATTTCTCGTTCTGTAGCTGTCTTTGCCTCTGCTGCCTTAGGAATCGTGCATCTTGCAGTGCTAAGTAGTGTAGACGTACCTTTGGTTGCATTCGTGTGCGCTGAAGAAATACCAGCAAATCTCTGTTAATTCTAGTTTAGGTAAAACTACTTTCCCCTCTTTGGGAAAACTCTCTCCGTGCAGTAATACAAGGTAGTCAGGTGGTTTCAGTGGGCTTTTCAAGGGCTTCTTCAGGAAGAAGGGATGGATAGTGTGAAAATTGAATTGCGGTCTGCACAATAACGGCGCTGTGCGATGGAACTGAGTGCTGTGCTGGCAAGGTAAAACAAAGTGTTGGGATTTGGTTTCAGTGTGTGTTTGTGCGTACAAGTTTTCCTCTCCATCAGGGATTTAGTTTATTTAATCACCCTCTTTTTCATTCTCGTAGTCTGAAATAAAATGGTGTATCATATGACAAGGACTTTTTAGTTTTTGAGAAGCTTAATAGGATGTTGGATATGGTATAGCATTTAACGGCTTCCGCTGCAGAAGGTAATATTATTTGTATAATATAAATAAAATATTCATGGTTTAGATACAGCTGAGTGCTGCATTTATAGGGAAGGCAGTCAGCAATGTAACTGATTTATCTATATTCCTCTCGCCCTTTTTTTCCCCAAGATGTGTAATTCAAGGGCAGAAACCTAGTAACTGCTTTAAATACAAGCTTTGAGATAGAGGAGGAGATTGTGTCAGTTCTTCATGTTAAAATTCCTTCATCCTAGGTTGATGCTTAGAAGTTGACTGTCATTTCACCAGCTTTAGCATAAAGGAAGCGATGTCTAGAAATACTATATTTGAGTATACTAATAAAGGCTGAGAAACTTGGAGAACAGGTCAATGTGACCCACTAGTCATTCACATGCATGCATAATACTGGGAAACTCACGTAGATGTGTATGATTTTCTTCCTATTTTGCGGAAAAAATGTTGGCGTTTAATAATTTTCAGCAATTACAGATCAAATCTGACTTCCCATGATGTGGAATTGTATGGTTACCAACTATATTAAAAAAAAAAAAAATGCCCTACCACTACTTGGATAAGGTGCTTTGTTGTGCTGATATGGACAGTAATACTTGGACAAAGATACATTCAAAAGGTATATTAGAGTTTCTAGGCGCTCTGTTCTGATGGAGTCTTACGACTACTGACTTGTTATTGCATATTTAAGCAGTTTCATAAAACATTTGGAAATAACAATGCAGTGTACGCTGTAGTCAGAAAAGGTTTTTATTTCGAGTTTATATTTCTATTCAGTTTTCAAGTGGTGTTAGCTTTCCTGTATGTGTCTGGCTTTTTCAAAAAGAGGAGTGCAATTAAAAGGAGCCATGCAGTCAGGGGAGTTGTTGGTTTTAGTTAATATTCAGTTCTTGAAAGAATAGAGGAAGGTAGTTGTGCAGATTAACATGCAGAACAGTAGTGTTTGTAAGGCACAGTTCACTGTCAATAGGCCCAGCAAGCTCAAATCAAAATATATTACTCTAATCCCCAAATCCCCGCAACCTGGATTTTGCTTTAGCTTTCTAGCATAGTGGTGAAAGAGAAACAAAATGCTTTAATACTTCGTGTTTCTGACATGTTTCCAAATATCTGATTTAACTGGAAGAACCAGGCTGTAATTTGTAGGCTTGTGTTTATCTGTCTATCTTTGGTCGGAGAGTGACAGTGTAAATAGCGGCAGGACAGCACGCTTGGCAAATGGCAGGAGCTGACGAAACAAATAGATGCTCCGTCGGGTGAAGAGTGCTAACATGTCGAGTCGTTCTGCCACCTTTTCTGTGCCCTTATATCAAGGAAGTCCCCCCAGAGCAGCAGACACGTTCACAGGGGACCACTGGAGGAAGGTGTGTTTGGACAAGGCTTTCTCCTCTCTTGTGCCCGAGCTAGGCTTTCCAAGTTATGGTTTGGTTTTGTGTCTGCAGGGGAAGCTGCACGACCCTCAGCTCATGGGAATCATTCCGAGAATTGCACATGACATCTTTGACCACATCTATTCCATGGATGAAAACCTGGAGTTTCATATAAAGGTAAATGCAGAATGACGTGTTAACATAATGGGTCGGATGGAAGAAAGTTGAGCTGGATGGGAAATCTGCATTCATGCTATAACATTGCGCTGCAGAATTTTTCCTTTCTGCGTTTTATAACTCAAAAAACCATTGAGTTACTGAGGATATTTCCTAGAAATAATCCAATACAGTTACTAGCCTTTGATGGAAATTTTTTTTGAGTGTGTTTTCAGCTCAGGTTTGCTAGTCCGTTGGTTGCCTTGTCTCTCACCACAGCTGATAGGCTAGCCAACATGGTAAGAAAACACTTATTCACTGCAGCTTCTCCAGAGACTGTCTCTCAGCCCTGCTAGTTATGACCATAAATACTACTGATCTGCATGACGTTTGAGAGAATACTGACATGTTGTTCCCATCTCAATGACATAAACAGTCTTGTGGGTTTGAAATGGAGGAAAGATGGCTTTGGGCAATTTACGGAAGGATGTTTAGAAGTAATTTTTAATCTCAAAATCTTACATGTGGGTTCCTTGAGATGGTGGACTAAGTTTTGCTTTGAACAGCTGATATGTTTTCCCTGTCCTTATTGTGATACCAAACATATGATCTCAAATTATTTGAATGACCTTTAATTCCTACTGTTCATCCTGTCTCCTGGGGACCTCTCAGCCATGGGGGCATCAGTCATCTGGCAGAGTTGGGGTCAGGGCACAGCTTTCTTCTAAGTGGACATCAGTAAAATTACCCTGTGGATTGCAGGAAAAATGGCTACTCCTCTGTGTGATCCCTCCCCCCCGCAAAATGTACCTAGACGGCTTCAGTAAAGTTAAGTAGCTGAGCACAGGTAGAGTGTGAAATCACTGTCCCTTCTCCTGCTGTGACCAGGTGATGCTCTTTGAGAATGGAGCTCTGCTCCTCTGTCCCTCTTGTGCCTCAAAGTTGGAGATGAGTGACTTCTTAGTGCTGCTTGTATTAAAGCCCTTGAAGCACTTCTGGGGGTATATATTTTTTATTTTCCCAATAATCTAGCAGAGTATGTCTGAACCAGTTACTGATCTGCTGGAAGGACTAGGTCATTTTTTATTGAGAGCCTTCTTAGCAGTGCCTCTTTGTGGGTGTGCTCATGGAGTACAGACAGAAGAAGCAGACATACAAAGTACAAATTAACCCTCTAAATATTTTAATATCTATATATTTTAATATTTTAGTTGTAAAATATTGAGCTCCTTAAGAAGAGGCGCCTCTGAATGAATTTTCATAGAAATGACTTCCATAGAAGTAACACTGATTTCTTTTCATCATCTGTAAAGCTCTCCTGTGGCTATTGCTATTCTATATGATAGCACTTGGATAGCAACAGATGGGGACCCCCTTGTACAAGACGTGTAAATTCCTGTCCTGGCAGAAGATTATCACTTTATAAATCATGGTCTGCCAGCACTGAATTATTTCAGTGGTTTCCTATCATAGTTGACGTTTATGAATATCTTAACAGAAAAGCTGCCTAAATAGCATTGAATGAGTGAGTGATTATACAAGGAGCTGTCATTGAGAGAAATGCATGTTCTGTCATTGGGAGCAAGAATTTAACCAAACTGTCACACTCTTTTAATAACTGAGCCAACGCTGAAAATTAACATCATTTTTTTTCTCTCCCTCTTCAATAGAGACCCGTTTAGAACAGGGAGGGGAACTTGGTATCTCCTGCGTGTGTTGGTCCTCAGCAGTGTGTTAATAGGATAATATAAAGCACGTGAGTTAAGTCTAGGTGAACCGGACTGTTGAAATGAGCTGGTCCAGAGGAGGGCTTTAAATGGGACACAGATGAAGTAAACGCACAAAAGCAAAACACATCTGAATTTAATAGCAGTTGTCACATAGGAAGATAACTCGTCAGTATAAAAAAAAAGATATAATTTATTTTTCCTATGAGAGAAAATGATACTTTACTAGATAGCTAGTGTTCACTGATACCTAAAATTTAGCCATTGTGTTCTAGCTAAATAATCCCTGGATAAAGCTTATTTAGGGTAAGGTTAGGCATCACCCCCCTAACACTTTTCTGTTTGCTTCTCCTTTTATTTAGAGAGTCATTCATTCATTCTCCCTCTCCTTAATATTTTATTTTTTGAGGACAATTGCCTCTCCCTTTGTTACAGAAAAGCTCATTTTCAGTTTCCTCTTTGGGACTTGATTCAGGACAGAACTTTTACATGTGCTTCATTTAAAAGTTTAATTTAATTTATATTGCTTAAGCTTATGTAACCTGTATGTTAAACCACTGAACGCACTGTGTGCTTTTGTGCTGCTGAATATCAATATGCCTCTTACAGTTGTCAAAATTTACCCTCCTCGTAATGCAGCTGTACTGATATGATACTAGCTGAATTGATTTGATTCTGTTCAATATTTTTGGTGTCAAAAAAATGGTGAAGATAAGATTTGTCTGGAGGTTTTTTGTATGCTTTCCTGATGAATCACTGATAAATGGAGAAGGATCAGACATTTAGATCATTCGAATTACAAATACTTTCACGTGAAAGATGTGGTTCAAAGTATGTGGGAGGTAGATTTTATTTTTAGTTTAACAGATATGGAAATATAGGTACAGAGACTTTTGAATTGCCAAAGTTTAAATCTGTAATGTTTATAATTACTTCATTAGGTTTCCTACTTTGAGATATATTTGGACAAAATAAGGGACCTACTTGATGGTAAGTTCTGCATTTCTTATGTGATTAAGTGGTGTTGGACTTGGTATAGTGCTTTGAATCAACGCTTAAGGGGAAACGGTTACTTTCTTTGAGAGTGATTTAAATTTAAGCTGTATGACTCGTTTTGTGAAAGAGAATTTTGCAATTTAAGTCATCTCTGACTCTCATGCACCTACCTCTGCAGTGCTACATAGCTTGATTATAAATCAATGAGTACAGAGAATTTTAGACTTCAAGGCATGTCTGAGCCTCACTGGCAATGTATATTCTTAAAATAAAACTGTGTTCTGTTGAGGTTTTTTTGTTAAATTTAGAATACATTTGGTTCATCTTATTCCTTGCTTTGCTTCTGTTGGGTAGAGATTGTTGGGAGTTATCTGTCTCTTTTACAATTTGTGTGTCTGTATATGCATGCTGTATGTTGATGAAAGTGTGAGTTGTGTGTGTTGAATCAGTCTGAAGAGAGAGAAATGCATGCTAATGGTAACGCAAAACCAGGGACATGTATTTGAGCTTCTTTGAATTCCAGGGAGTTCTTCTGTTTCTTTTGAAATTTTTGCTGCTTTGGCAAAATCCAGCTTGGTCAGTGTTTATTTTATTAATCCAAGCAATAAAAAAAAGCTCTTGTGCCATAAAGTTAACTTTAAAGAAACAGGTACAAGACTGACAGAACAAGAAACAAGTTTTACGTAACAGAAATATTGGTGGTTAATGAGGAGTGGGAAGCGACTACAATTCTCATTTACAGATTTAATACATTCACGGTATTTGTCTGTCATGCCTGTAGTCGACACATTATTATCTGTGGAATATTCCTAATGATCTCCATCTTTTTTATTAGTGTCAAAGACAAACCTCGCTGTACATGAAGATAAAAACAGAGTCCCATATGTTAAGGTACAAGGAAAATTTGATGCTCATTTTTTCATTCTTTCTCACTTACGCATTTATTTACATATTTCCATTTGTATCCCACTGCGTTTGCTGAGATGATTCAACTCATGTACAGAGACTTGAATGTTCAAGTAGTATTGGTCCCCGAATTTAAACAGTTTCCTGAAATATTAGTGGGCTTGAATCATGTTTGCTTTATTTTCCTGACTTTAAACATTTATATTTTGTTAGTATGGTGTTAAATTTTAAGTATTCATTGCCATTTTATGTCAGATATGAAAGAGAACATCTTGAAGAATTTTGTTCTTTAATATTTTGTTGCATAGATGCTGTAATGTCGCAATATTTTAGAACAGATTTGTTTGGTTAAGAATTTGTTCTATGATTTCCTGGGCCCTCACTTAAATGTAATATACTTGTTATGAACATATCTGAGCCTTAATAATATAAATATAATATTGTTCTGTTTATTCTCATCCTGGGGAGAGCAAAACCAAATTTGATAAAATAATTCCTTCAGTAATATTGCATTAAGACAGAGAACAAGGACTATGAATCACATCTTGTAGTTTGAGAGAGAAAAATTCGTTTGGGTATGTAATCTAACCCAAATTAGTAACAGGAATATATGCTGTATGTGTTCTAAGCATAGAAACTCTCTTCTGCTGCATGTTTGGATTTGACCGAGTCTTTAATCTTGTGAAAAAAAAATTGTCTCTCAAGTTATCCCGTGGACTCCTCCTGAAAGTCATACAAAGGCATGTTTTGGTCCATTGCCTCGCTAATGATCATGTTGGATGTTGATGGGTCTTCTAAATATTTTGTTCATCACTGCTAAATATTCTTCCTGCATTTGGAGTGCTAGGACACTTCCTACACTTTTCTATTTTCTTGCATATTTCTAGGGTTGTACAGAAAGATTTGTATCTAGTCCTGAAGAAGTTTTGGATGTCATTGATGAAGGGAAAGCTAACCGTCATGTAGCCGTTACAAGTAAGTATTCTGTGGAAGCTTTTCTGGCTACAAAGGGAGGGTGGTTGTAGCTTCCTAGTGGTGTATTGATTCTTCACATTCACAAAGTACTTTGAGGTACTTAGGTGAATGATGTAAAGATGCACAAATTATAACGCTCTAAAGTTAATAGAGCTGTACCTTTTTTACTGCTTCACTGCATACAGAAACATTTATTGACTTTCAGCTTTGAGAACTTCTGAATTTAATACATGGCATTATATAGTATTGCTATATAAAAAGTCAAAATATATATTGTTACACATAGTATAGATATTTTGAAATTATGTATAACTGAAATCATGTACGTACATTCTTCTTTGTGCTACAAGTCCAGAACTCGGAGCAATTCACTGGTCAAATGGCAGGCAAAGACTGCAGAGCAATTACCAGACTCTGCCTGTTTCTCGCTTGCAAGTTATCCCAGTGAAGCAGTGACTTGGACTGAGTTCCAATAATGGCAAAGCAAACAAATCTTCCTGAATTAAAAAACAGAATAATCACTTCAGCCTGAGCCAAATTTGTTGACATTTATGTTGCATGCAGCCTACTAGCATTACAGTGATAAAAAGGGCAGGTATCTTTGCCCTGTTTCCCAATTTATACTGTAAGATGTCTTTGATCCAAGCAGTGAGCTTGGTGGAACCTCATCTTGTAACTCAAGTCTTTGCGGTGGGGTGGAGGTGGGGGGTTGGGTTTGGTTGGTTGGTTTGTTTGGGGTTTTTTTGTTGTTGTAATTTTATTTTATTTTCTATTTTTTATGGTGCCCTGGGTAACTTCTTTCTCTTCCATGTCTCTACCTTCTTGCTTTAGTAAATACTGTATTGCTTTAGCTTTCCTGTGCCTTTCTCATCTTACTAATAGAAATGTATTCTCTTTTTTCTGAGAAACGTTTCCTCACGTTGTTTCTGCTATTCCCTTTAACAAAAAATACCCAAATACACCTTTTGCTGTGATACTGCATTTTGCATTTAGTGCACAGAGAAAAGTTCTGACAAAAGTTGACAGAGAATGAATTTTACCTAGAAATGGCGAGGAGCAGATTTTGAAGCATTATTGAAAAAACTGAGTTTGGAGATGGAGGAGAAAAAGGGAGTTTGGATAAATACAAATATTGCTGTGAATGTGAATGGGGAAAGGTGGTAGTGGATTTTAAAGTAACAGAGAAAATAGAGAAAACAGATGAGAAAGTGGTTTACTGATTCTTAATGTTTTCTTTTTGCTACGTTATGAAACTTCAAGCATGACATGGTTACAATCAAACTTAGAATAAGTGGAAGCTGAAACAGTAACTGCCTGTGTTTTACCTGCTGCCTGGGAGAAGGAGGATTTTTAATTACATAAGCAATAAAAGTCACTCTGAAATTTTAATTTAAATAGTGTGGCTTTGATGAAAACTTTTGCTAAAATGTTGGGAGATCTCCTCACACAATTGCACTGAGACCTGCCCAGCTTCTTTTTATTGCAAATATTATTACTTCTCTTTAAATTCTCCTGCTCAGCTCAAAATTACTCCTCTGTCCAGGATGCTGAACATACATCCTCATTGTAGCTCTGTGTCTAAATAGTGTCCATTATATCACAGCAGTTTTTTGTGTGAGCTGTCTATACTCATGAAGAAGCATAAAAGGACAGACCTTTATTTCTTATTGTACCTGTGTAATGTTATTTTTTATTATTATGCTGTGATTTTTTTTTTGTTATTTTTTACTATTTCTGGTCAAATTTTATTGCTTAAAAAAACTTTCAAAAAAAGAAAGAAAGAAAGAAAGAAAAAAAAGCTTTTTTCCCAAGGCTGTCATTTATCATGAATCTGGTTAATTTGGTCATGTTGGGAGAAAGTAGGAGCTTGTTCCGTAGCCCATGAGCTTTATTTGCAGCTCTTGGCATAGACGCTGCTGTCAGTACAGTGGTCGGGGCTCTCCAGTGAATGGACTCGTACTTTTGAATTTGCTAGCCATAGGCTAGCTCTGATGAAATATAATTTCTTGTCAGGTTTTAAAGTCATTTAAATAAAACCTTTCAAATGTTGATTGCAGATATGAATGAACACAGCTCTAGGAGCCACAGTATCTTCCTCATTAATATTAAACAAGAGAATGTGGAAACTGAGAAGAAACTCAGTGGAAAGCTTTACCTGGTAGACTTGGCTGGAAGCGAGAAGGTAATCTTTCCTTTTTCCTAAACTGCTGAATTATCCTAGTGGGATCATTAAACTGATCGTGTGAATGTGTGTCAGTGCATACTAAGCCAGGTATAGTTACAGAAGTTTTACAGAAGTCTTATCTCATGTTATCAGTAGTGTGGCAATTTTTTTTTTTTTTTTTTTTTTAATGTGAGATGGAGAAAAGGAACAGATCTGAACCATTTATTGGTATAAAATGCAAAACCCAAAACTCTGCAATAGATCTTCCTTTATAATGAAGTGAATTGAACCAGTGTACTTTTATGTAGCTTCACATTTAGTTATGGGTATTTGAATAAAGTAATATAATTTTTATGTAATTTGTCATATTAGACTGCTATTTTAATTTTTTTATATTCAGACATATCCTATTTCTAGGTTCTCTGTAATTATTTCACATGTTAGATCAATGAAATAACAGCAGTTAATGCAGTTGTACAGCTGAAATCTATTTGAAGCTCCCTGAATGACTTGATTGTAGTGACTATTTCTGCTTTGCAATATAGAAAAATACTAGCCAGGAAAGAACTTATATCTGTTTATCAAAAGAGTAATGGTCTAGAACAGTACTGCAGTGGAAAAAAAGTTGTTTCTCAGTTCTAATTCTGACGACTTCTGTAGTGTTCAAAATTGCTTCACTGTAAACGAAATAAATTAATTTAAAACCCCGTCATTTTGCAACGCTATAGATCCTTTATTCAAGCTGGATCCTTGGTAACTACTCTGCATGTCAAAATAATTAAATAATTACTCATGATGGAGCAATGTCTCTCATTGTGGTCACAGATTTCTATTTCTTTCTGAAAATGAGAAGTAAAATGAAAGATTTTGTTTGATAGGCTGAGCAGCTTTCAGAATGCTCATTGGGACACACTAGTTGATAACCCATCATTACAATGCGGAAGCCATCCATCAGAGTAATTAATCATGTTAATTTCTGTTATTGCATATAATACTAAATGTTAAATTAAAATCTCTTAGTGGTGTTTAGAAAATGAGTGCCTAGTGAGGCTCCACTCTCCTCTGGAAAATACACTTCTGTGGTTCATTATGTTCATTTGGACATTGTACAGAAAACCTGAAATAAGGGTTTCCTTGGTAGATTGTCGTCTTAAAAGATACAATTATGTTTCCAATTAAGTCATGTGGCATTCATTTTTGGAGGAGAGTACAGATACTGTAGTTTCAGTGTAGAGAAAAATATATAGCTTTATCCTACATAAAAAGAGAGAGAGAAAAGATTGGTGCTGTCTAAACGAGTGCTGGTCCCAGGCCACCGAGCTTCTTGACTGGGCCACTTTGGGGTCCATTTTGTGGGCCAGCGAACCTCGCGTGAGTGAGATTATGCCTTTTCTGCCCTGATATTCTTGGTCCACACAAGTAAAATACAAAGCCAAGATACTCGTTTGGTGGCATATGCTGTGCCACTGAGTGTGCCCTGAGAATATACCTGCAGTGTTCCCTATCTGTATGGACAGTCTGGTCTTGGAAGTGGTCCCCAAGTGTGCCCAAGCATCCGCAGACTTACCAGCTTTTCCCTTAACGAAGTAAGAGTGAGCTTGTTCTTACACTGGAAGAAAGGCAGAAGTGTTACAGGCTTCCACTAACAAAAAAGGGCATATAAAATTCTCCTCCTTCATCCTGAGGATAAGCTTGCTTTGTTTTTCTTCCAAGAGCATCTTTAACTGTTGCACTATCTGCGTTGTAGCTGTATTTGAACAGGCGCTTGCTGATAGCTGAGCCTGACTGTTGCCTGCTCTCTTTGGTAGGTCAGCAAAACCGGAGCGGAGGGCGCTGTTCTTGATGAAGCTAAAAATATCAATAAGTCTTTGTCTGCTTTAGGCAATGTGATATCTGCCTTGGCAGAAGGAACTGTAAGTAATCCTGTTTTGTGTTGTTGAAGAATGGCTTTTTATTTATCTGTTTCTTTGCCATGCACATAAAAAAATAAGCTAACATTTCAATTCAGCAAGACGAAAATATTAGCTTTCCAACCACAAACCAGTGACACTTTTGCTATTCTACTAAAGATAAGAAACTAGTTCTGAGTGATTTCACTTGAGTGCCTATCCAATCTTAGCACAATCAAAACAATTACTCTTCAGGATTGTATGCTACAAATCCATTAAACCTGTCATTGTCGGCTCATGTTCTCTCGTTACGATACCGTTATTTAAAAAAATTGTTCTTGTCTCTTACTTGTATTTTGATTAGAAAACCCACGTTCCATACCGAGACAGCAAAATGACCCGAATCCTTCAGGATTCCCTGGGTGGGAACTGCAGAACCACCATCGTGATATGCTGTTCTCCTTCTGTGTTCAACGAAGCAGAAACAAAGTCAACTCTGATGTTCGGACAGCGGTGAGTCCGACTCGGCGTTAGGCTGGATGACACTTACTCGGGCTCTTCCACGTGTTCTGAGCCAGTCGTGCCGAGGGGAGTGAGATGAGTAGGCATTTTAAAATAGGGAGGTTTCTGGAGTTGTTCAAATACAGTACTGGAGAACTTGAGAAAACTCTTTATTTTATGTCTCTTTATGTCTCTTTGTTCCCTATGGCACCAGAAAAATATTAATGCTGGCCAGCAGCTGCACTATTTAGCGGCTCTGGTAATTTTTCCTGCAGAAAGTATAAAGCGTTATAGTAGTTCTTTGAAATTTTATGGGGAAGATAATAGTATTGGGCAGTTTTCTGTTGGCTAACTCAGTGGAAAATGTTTGGGTTTGCTTTATCTGATACTGGTGTTGCTTTTAAGATGTGTCTTCTCCTTGAATGGCATCTCAGGGATTATTGTTAAGGTTGCGAAAAATATTTTTTAACCGTTAAGAAAAATGAAGGATGTGGACACAGTGTAATATTGACAGCTTTGAAAGATTACTGTGATAGCTCACAGACATTTTTATATGATTGAAGGATCTTAACAATTTAGGAACAAGTTCTCAGAAACAAGCAAGGATAAAATAAATGTGGAAGTGTTCAGAGAGAAGATTTCTTTTCCATATGTGTTCGTTGCCAATAGTCGTATGAAATACATTTGGAAAGTTTGCAAAAATAGGTCAGGCTCATTACGTAATTACTGGTTTTGTTGTAATTGAGGAGAACTCTGATACTTTGGAAAATTCCTCACTTTGTTTTGTGTACGTTTATTTATTTGTGTAATAGCAGAAAGAAAAAATACTAGCAAGTTATGATAGTTTGAAATATAATTTATTTAGCAGTTTGTACAATATAATAAGTTTGTCTTTGTCTGAAAATGGGTTGTTTTCCACCATGCATAATTTTTGCATCGAAGCCCACACTGCTAAGGAGCATTTTATATTGGAAAGTAAAATCATGTATAAAAGATTAATCTGATGATCTTCTATTAATTCATTGCCCCACTTTTATCCTTTACTGTGAGCTTTCCTTAGATTTTAGTGAGGGAAGATGATCCTTTAGTGTATTCCTATAAGAGTACATAAAAGTGCAGGATGGGCAGTGAAGGACAAACAGATGCAGTTGGGTGCAGTCCCTTGTAAGGGACAGTGGTGGATTAAATTATTGAAGAGGTAAGCTTCTACTGAAATCCTGTATATTATAATGTCACAGAAATTTTGAGTAAATGCAAATATTAAGATGCAGTAATTAAATAAAGAGTGTTAACAACTCTGAAGTAGAATGAGTTGCACAGTTTTTGTTGCACAGATGGTAAAAGTTTAAATGTTTTGGTAGTTCACAGTTTAAACCTCCCCATGTACAGTTTTCTGACTGCAGGTGATTTCAGACGAGTGTGAGTCTTTCACCCCTGTAGAACAGA